TGTGTAGTGCAGCCTTGGGACTGTGTATTGCAGCCCTGGGACTGTGTAGTGCAGCCTTGGGACTGTGTATTGCAGCCCTGGGACTGTGTAGTGCAGCCTTGGGACTGTGTATTGCAGCCCTGGGACTGTGAAGTGCAGCCTTGGGACTGTGTATTGCAGCCCTGGGACTGTGTAGTGCAGCCTTGGGACTGTGTATTGCAGCCCTGGGACTGTGTAGTGCAGCCTTGGGACTGTGTATTGCAGCCCTGGGACTGTGTAGTGCAGCCTTGGGACTGTGTATTGCAGCCCTGGGACTGTGTAGTGCAGCCTTGGGACTGTGTATTGCAGCCCTGGGACTGTGTATTGCAGCACCGGGACTGTGTATTGCAGCCCTAGGACTGTGTATTGCAGCCCTGGGACTGTGTATTGCAGCCCTGGGACTGTGTATTGCAGCTCTGGGACTGTGTATTGCAGCCCTGGGACTGTGTAGTGCAGCCTTGGGACTGTGTATTGCAGCCCTGGGACTGTGTAGTGCAGCCTTGGGACTGTGTATTGCAGCCCTGGGACTGTGTAGTGCAGCCTTGGGACTGTGTATTGCAGCCCTGGGACTGTGTAGTGCAGCCTTGGGACTGTGTATTGCAGCCCTGGGACTGTGTAGTGCAGCCTTGGGACTGTGTATTGCAGCCCTGGGACTGTGTAGTGCAGCCTTGGGACTGTGTATTGCAGCCCTGGGACTGTGTATTGCAGCCCTGGGACTGTGTAGTGCAGCCTTGGGACTGTGTATTGCAGCCCTGGGACTGTGTAGTGCAGCCTTGGGACTGTGTATTGCAGCCCTGGGACTGTGTAGTGCAGCCTTGGGACTGTGTATTGCAGCCCTGGGACTGTGTAGTGCAGCCTTGGGACTGTGTATTGCAGCCCTGGGACTGTGTAGTGCAGCCTTGGGACTGTGTATTGCAGCCCTGGGACTGTGTATTGCAGCCCTGGGACTGTGTAGTGCAGCCTTGGGACTGTGTATTGCAGCCCTGGGACTGTGTAGTGCAGCCTTGGGACTGTGTATTGCAGCCCTGGGACTGTGTAGTGCAGCCTTGGGACTGTGTATTGCAGCCCTGGGACTGTGTAGTGCAGCCTTGGGACTGTGTATTGCAGCCCTGGGACTGTGAAGTGCAGCCTTGGGACTGTGTATTGCAGCCCTGGGACTGTGTAGTGCAGCCTTGGGACTGTGTATTGCAGCCCTGGGACTGTGTAGTGCAGCCTTGGGACTGTGTATTGCAGCCCTGGGACTGTGTAGTGCAGCCTTGGGACTGTGTATTGCAGCCCTGGGACTGTGTAGTGCAGCCTTGGGACTGTGTATTGCAGCCCTGGGACTGTGTAGTGCAGCCTTGGGACTGTGTATTGCAGCCCTGGGACTGTGTATTGCAGCCCTGGGACTGTGTATTGCAGCTCTGGGACTGTGTATTGCAGCCCTGGGACTGTGTATTGCAGCCTTGGGACTGTGTATTGCAGCCCTGGGACTGTGTATTGCAGCCCTGGGACTGTGTAGTGCAGCCTTGGGACTGTGTATTGCAGCCCTGGGACTGTGTATTGCAGCCCTGGGACTGTGTAGTGCAGCCTTGGGACTGTGTATTGCAGCCCTGGGACTGTGTATTGCAGCCCTGGGACTGTGTAGTGCAGCCCTGGGACTGTGTATTGCAGCCCTGGGACTGTGTATTGCAGCCCTGGGACTGTGTAGTGCAGCCTTGGGACTGTGTATTGCAGCCCTGGGACTGTGTAGTGCAGCCTTGGGACTGTGTATTGCAGCCCTGGGACTGTGTAGTGCAGCCTTGGGACTGTGTATTGCAGCCCTGGGACTGTGTAGTGCAGCCTTGGGACTGTGTATTGCAGCCCTGGGACTGTGTATTGCAGCCCTGGGACTGTGTAGTGCAGCCTTGGGACTGTGTATTGCAGCCCTGGGACTGTGTAGTGCAGCCTTGGGACTGTGTATTGCAGCCCTGGGACTGTGTAGTGCAGCCTTGGGACTGTGTATTGCAGCCCTGGGACTGTGTAGTGCAGCCTTGGGACTGTGTATTGCAGCCCTGGGACTGTGTAGTGCAGCCTTGGGACTGTGTATTGCAGCCCTGGGACTGTGTAGTGCAGCCTTGGGACTGTGTATTGCAGCCCTGGGACTGTGTAGTGCAGCCTTGGGACTGTGTATTGCAGCCCTGGGACTGTGTAGTGCAGCCTTGGGACTGTGTATTGCAGCCCTGGGACTGTGTAGTGCAGCCTTGGGACTGTGTATTGCAGCCCTGGGACTGTGTAGTGCAGCCTTGGGACTGTGTATTGCAGCCCTGGGACTGTGTATTGCAGCCCTGGGACTGTGTATTGCAGCTCTGGGACTGTGTATTGCAGCCCTGGGACTGTGTATTGCAGCCTTGGGACTGTGTATTGCAGCCCTGGGACTGTGTATTGCAGCCCTGGGACTGTGTAGTGCAGCCTTGGGACTGTGTATTGCAGCCCTGGGACTGTGTATTGCAGCCCTGGGACTGTGTAGTGCAGCCTTGGGACTGTGTATTGCAGCCCTGGGACTGTGTATTGCAGCCCTGGGACTGTGTAGTGCAGCCTTGGGACTGTGTATTGCAGCCCTGGGACTGTGTATTGCAGCCCTGGGACTGTGTATTGCAGCCCTGGGACTGTGTATTGCAGCCCTGGGACTGTGTAGTGCAGTGCAGCCTTGGGACTGTGTATTGCAGCCCTGGGACTGTGTATTGCAGCCCTGGGACTGTGTATTGCAGCCCTGGGACTGTGTATTGCAGCCCTGGGACTGTGTAGTGCAGCCTTGGGACTGTGTATTGCAGCCCTGGGACTGTGTATTGCAGCTCTGGGACTGTGTATTGCAGCCCTGGGACTGTGTATTGCAGCCTTGGGACTGTGTATTGCAGCCCTGGGACTGTGTATTGCAGCCCTGGGACTGTGTAGTGCAGCCTTGGGACTGTGTATTGCAGCCCTGGGACTGTGTATTGCAGCCCTGGGACTGTGTAGTGCAGCCTTGGGACTGTGTATTGCAGCCCTGGGACTGTGTATTGCAGCCCTGGGACTGTGTAGTGCAGCCTTGGGACTGTGTATTGCAGCCCTGGGACTGTGTATTGCAGCCCTGGGACTGTGTATTGCAGCCCTGGGACTGTGTATTGCAGCCCTGGGACTGTGTAGTGCAGCCTTGGGACTGTGTATTGCAGCCCTGGGACTGTGTATTGCAGCCCTGGGACTGTGTAGTGCAGCCTTGGGACTGTGTATTGCAGCCCTGGGACTGTGTATTGCAGCCCTGGGACTGTGTAGTGCAGCCTTGGGACTGTGTATTGCAGCCCTGGGACTGTGTATTGCAGCCCTGGGACTGTGTATTGCAGCCCTGGGACTGTGTATTGCAGCCCTGGGACTGTGTAGTGCAGCCTTGGGACTGTGTATTGCAGCCCTGGGACTGTGTATTGCAGCCCTGGGACTGTGTAGTGCAGCCTTGGGACTGTGTATTGCAGCCCTGGGACTGTGTATTGCAGCCCTGGGACTGTGTAGTGCAGCCTTAGGACTGTGTATTGCAGCCCTGGGACTGTGTATTGCAGCCCTGGGACTGTGTAGTGCAGCCTTGGGACTGTGTATTGCAGCCCTGGGACTGTGTATTGCAGCCCTGGGACTGTGTAGTGCAGCCTTGGGACTGTGTATTGCAGCCCTGGGACTGTGTATTGCAGCCCTAGGACTGTGTATTGCAGCCCTGGGACTGTGTATTGCAGCCCTGGGACTGTGTATTGCAGCTCTGGGACTGTGTATTGCAGCCCTGGGACTGTGTATTGCAGCCTTGGGACTGTGTATTGCAGCCCTGGGACTGTGTATTGCAGCCCTGGGACTGTGTAGTGCAGCCTTGGGACTGTGTATTGCAGCCCTGGGACTGTGTATTGCAGCCCTGGGACTGTGTAGTGCAGCCTTGGGACTGTGTATTGCAGCCCTGGGACTGTGTAGTGCAGCCTTGGGACTGTGTATTGCAGCCCTTGGACTGTGTATTGCAGCCCTGGGACTGTGTATTGCAGCCCTGGGACTGTGTATTGCAGCCCTGGGACTGTGTAGTGCAGCCTTGGGACTGTGTATTGCAGCCCTGGGACTGTGTATTGCAGCCCTGGGACTGTGTAGTGCAGCCTTGGGACTGTGTATTGCAGCCCTGGGACTGTGTAGTGCAGCCTTGGGACTGTGTATTGCAGCCCTGGGACTGTGTAGTGCAGCCTTGGGACTGTGTATTGCAGCCCTGGGACTGTGTAGTGCAGCCTTGGGACTGTGTATTGCAGCCCTGGGACTGTGTATTGCAGCCCTGGGACTGTGTAGTGCAGCCTTGGGACTGTGTATTGCAGCCCTGGGACTGTGTATTGCAGCCCTGGGACTGTGTATTGCAGCCCTGGGACTGTGTATTGCAGCCCTGGGACTGTGTAGTGCAGCCTTGGGACTGTGTATTGCAGCCCTGGGACTGTGTATTGCAGCCCTGGGACTGTGTATTGCAGCCCTGGGACTGTGTATTGCAGCCCTGGGACTGTGTATTGCAGCCCTGGGACTGTGTATTGCAGCCCTGGGACTGCGCGCCCATCACCGGCTGCAAGTGAGTGCGTGCGGGTGAGGGTTGTCTCAGACCGGAGAGCTGTAGGGTTGTCCGCAGGACAGATGGGCCAAAGTCTGGAGTATAGCCACAGAGGACTACACAGTTCTGGTATTGCGCGCCCATCACCGGCTGCAAGTGAGTGCCTGCGGATTTCCTGATCAGAGAGGAGGGTTGTCAGAGTGGAGGGTTGTCAGACAGACGGCCGAATGTCAGTCTCTCTAGCAACCGAGGACTGCGCATGCAGCCGGCGGGCCGGGACTGCATGCACGCCCATCGCCTGCTGCTACAAGTGATTTGCTTCTGTCGGGGGAGCATGCAGATCGGTAAAAAAAACTGTGGGTAGTTTCGCCATTCATCTCTTTCCTGCTGCTTCTCCCCCCTCCTCCCCCACCACCCGGCCCCCTCCCTCCCCCAGGCTACCGCTGACGAGCGACCAGCAGGGCAGGTCGACAGGCGGCAACCGCTTTCCGTTCCCACTGTTTGGGATCGTGTACGATCAGCGCAACTTCACAGAGGGCGGGGACACTGCTGCTCTCGTCGCCAACACCTCGTGAGCTGCTGCTGCTGCCGCCGCCGCCCCCGCCGCTGCTTCTGCTTGTGCGCTTGCTTAACTGCCTGGGTTGGTTGCTCTTGTGTGTTTGTTGAGAACCGGTCGGTTGGTCGGTTGTCGATGAAGCTGGTACTGCCTTGTACTCCCTTGTACCACATGTGACACTGTGCACCATTCCCTCTGCCCATTCCCTCTCCCCATTCCCTCTCCCCATGCCCTCTCCCCATTCCCTCTCCCCATTCCCTCTCCCCATTTCCTCTCCCCATTCCCTCTCCCCATTTCCTCTCCCCATTCCCTCTCCCCATTCCCTCTCCCCATTCCCTCTCCCCATTCCCTCTCACCATGCCCTCCCCCCCTCACCCCCCCAGCTTCTTCAACTACGATGCCACGTGCCGCCCCGCTGCTGGGTTCGCACTGGGCCTCTCGCCCACCTACAAGGACTACTGGAACGCCGGCCAGGCTGTCAGGGTGAGCTTGCTGAGGGGCGGGGACACGCAGGGTGAGGGTGCTGGCAGGGTGAGGGTGCTGGCAGGGTGAGGGTGCTGGCAGGGTGAGCGTGCTGAGGGGCATGATCAGGCAGGTGTGCGCACCTGCTCTATCACGCTCTTACAGAGGTTGACTCCAAGGCCCAGCCAGGCTGCCTGCCAGTCAGGGTGTCCGAATGAGGCATGGAAGGGTGCGAGTCCTGATGGGAGTGGGAGGAAGTCGCTAGGGGGTTTCTTGTCTATCCTCCTCCTTCAACTCCATGCAAGCCACGATGTAAAAAGAGTTTTTTTTTAGACGTCTAAATGATTCACTTTTTACATGTGGAAGTCGCTAGGGGGTTCTTGTCCATCCTCCTCCTTCAACTCCATGCAAGCCACGATGTAAAAAGAGATTTTTTTTAGACGTCTAAATGATTCACTTTTTACATGTGGAAGTCGCTAGGGGGGTTCTTGTCCATCCTCCTCCTTCAACTCCATGCAAGTCACGATGTCGGGGTAGGGTGTCGGCGAGAAACACAGAACGCGAGGGTGCAATGGTGGTGAGCAAAGAGAGAACCAGGGGAATCTTAACGCATCCCTTATTAAGGGAAGGAAGGAAATCTTAACGCATTAAGGGAGTCTTAACGCATTAAGGGAATCTTAACGCATTAAGGGAATCTTAACGCATTAAGGGAATCTTAACGCATTAAGGGAATCTTAACGCATTAAGGGAATTTTAACGCTTTAAGGGAATCTTAACGCATCCCACCTCCTTTTATCCTATCTCCTCACTCCCCTCCTTTTCCTTCTCCCGCCTCCCCACTCCTTTCAGTCTGCTATCCCGCTCATCACACATGTCCTCTTTCCCACATCGCACCCATGTTGCTTGTGTTGTGTTGCTTGTGTTGTGTTGCTTGTGTTGTGTTGCTTGTGTTGTGTTGCTTGTGTTGTGTTGCTTGTGTTGTGTTGCTTGTGTTGTGTTGCTTGTGTTGTGTTGCTTGTGTTGTGTTGCTTGTGTTGTGTTGCTTGTGTTGTGTTGCTTGTGTTGTGTTGTGTTGCTTGTGTTGTGTTGCTTGTGTTGTGTTGCTTGTGTTGTGTTGCTTGTGTTGTGTTGCTTGTGTTGTGTTGCTTGTGTTGTGTTGCTTGTGTTGTGTTGCTTGTGTTGTGTTGCTTGTGTTGTGTTGCTTGTGTTGTGTTGCTTGTGTTGTGTTGCTTGTGTTGTGTTGCTTGTGTTGTGTTGCTTGTGTTGTGTTGCTTGTGTTGTGTTGCTTGTGTTGTGTTGCTTGTGTTGTGTTGCTTGTGTTGTGTTGCTTGTGTTGTGTTGCTTGTGTTGTGTTGCTTGTGTTGTGTTGCTTGTGTTGTGTTGCTTGTGTTGTGTTGCTTGTGTTGTGTTGCTTGTGTTGTGTTGCTTGTGTTGTGTTGCTTGTGTTGTGTTGCTTGTGTTGTGTTGCTTGTGTTGTGTTGCTTGTGTTGTGTTGCTTGTGTTGTGTTGCTTGTGTTGTGTTGCTTGTGTTGTGTTGCTTGTGTTGTGTTGCTTGTGTTGTGTTGCTTGTGTTGTGTTGCTTGTGTTGTGTTGCTTGTGTTGTGTTGCTTGTGTTGTGTTGCTTGTGTTGTGTTGCTTGTGTTGTGTTGCTTTGTGTTGTGTTGCTTGTGTTGTGTTGCTTGTGTTGTGTTGCTTGTGTTGTGTTGCTTGTGTTGTGTTGCTTGTGTTGTGTTGCTTGTGTTGTGTTGCTTGTGTTGTGTTGCTTGTGTTGTGTTGCTTGTGTTGTGTTGCTTGTGTTGTGTTGCTTGTGTTGTGTTGCTTGTGTTGTGTTGCTTGTGTTGTGTTGCTTGTGTTGTGTTGCTTGTGTTGTGTTGCTTGTGTTGTGTTGCTTGTGTTGTGTTGCTTGTGTTGTGTTGTGTTGCTTGTGTTGTGTTGTGTTGTGTTGTGTTGTGTTGTGTTGTGTTGTGTTGTGTTGTGTTGTGTTGTGTTGTGTTGTGTTGTGTTGTGTTGTGTTGCTTGTGTTGTGTTGTGTTGTGTTGCTTGTGTTGTGTTGTGTTGTGTTGTGTTGTGTTGTGTTGTGTTGTGTTGCTTGTGTTGTGTTGTGCTGTGCTGTGTTGTGCTGTGTTGTGTTGTGTTGTGTTGTGTTGCTTGTGTTGTGTTGTGCTGTGCTGTGTTGTGTTGTGTTGTGTTGTGTTGTGTTGCTTGTGTTGTGTTGTGCTGTGCTGTGCTGACCACCAACCATCAGAACGTGAGCTTCAAAGCGGCCAACCGCATGTGGATACCTGGAGACACCTTCCCTTTCCTGGTCAGTACCCCACTCGTCTGCTTTCGCATGGCCCTTTTCTCTCACCCATCCGCCCGTCCGTCCCATGGTGCTGCCTTGCCACTGCACCACAACGCAGGGGCATATCATATCATATCATATACCTTGCTTCATGCATCATGTACGATTTACACTGTGTACATGGACCATGAAGTATGCAGCATGCATTATGCACCACACACCATGCACCATGCAGTATGCACCATGTCTCTAGGGGTGCCTGCCACGCCCCACCTGTACGGTGTATCTCAACCACGAGGCACGGTGAGAGCAGCTATGTGATACCCTTAGGCACATCACCAGCCGTTCCTCTCTCACGTCTTGGGTTCTCTTGCTACATACACCCTTCAGTTGATTTCCCCATGGCTAGCTCATTCGCCCACAGTATCTGACCCCAACAGCATCTTCCACATCATCTTCCCACTGTATCATCTCCTCTCAGACCTCTCTGCATCGTCGTTCCCCCGCATCACCTTCCTTTGAGGCGCTTCAAAAATCACCTTCCTCCCACAGCATCCGCCCCCATATCGACTCTACAGCGCATTGCTTACCTCGCATTCACTTCCATTCCACTGCGTCTGCTCCTTTCTCCACTCCTCCCCTCCCATTCCTTCCTCCTTACCACCACCCTTTCCCAGAGCGGCGACCTCTATTCCAACTCTGTATCGCCATCTCCACCACACTCTGTATCGCCACCTTTTCTCATCTCCCCCCTCTCTCCTCATCTCCCCCCTCTCCCCTCATCTCTCCCCCTTCCTCCCCCCAGGGCAGGTCCACCATAGCAACAGGACGAGCGTCCCCCTTCCTCATGATGTGAGACCTAGACGGCTCGCTCACCAACACACAGCTTGTTGAGTCAACTCAACTAAAAAATCACATTCTCTCCCCTCCTCCTCCCCCCAGGGCGGGTCCACCATAGCAACGGGAGTAGTCTCCCCCTTCCTCATGATGCGGGACACAGACGGCTCGCTCACCGGCACAACCCCCGGCTCCGTCAAAGAGGGCGGCTACGCCATTGCCAATGTGTCTTACCTCTTACCGCCCGCCAAGCTCAAGGGAGCGCCTGTGTGTGCGCCAATGAAGACGTGGAACGGGTATTCGTGCCCCAAGGCATGCTACCGCAGTGTGGCCATCTCGTACTTTGAGCCGGGGTTCTCACCCATCAACGACTCGCCTGACGCCAGGAAGAGGGGCTCTTTCAGGTGCGCGTGTGGGGGGGGGAAGGGGGGGCTTGGAAGGTGTGTGTGTGTGTGTGTGTGTGTGTGTGTTTGCGTGTGAGGGCGTATCTCAATTCGGGTCACAGGAGCCTGCTTCGGGTCTTGGGAACCCTTTGGGTCATAGGAGGACCAATGGTGTTCCAGTAGTGTAGCTAAAATGCGCCCTATTGGTCGTCCAAGAATCTTGGATGGCCCAAACAATGCTCATGAACCAAACTGAGATACGCCCTGAGTGAGTGGAAATGTGTTTGCCTGGGTGTCTGCATTTCCGTTTATGGGTGTGAAACGATGTGAAGGGTCTCTGCCGCTGGCATTGATATCGTGCATACAAACATCATCTATACGTTACGTGCACGTTTCTCTTGTGGTAAGAACACTGCCTTCTCTACATCTGCATCCCCTTTCTCCCTCTTCCTCTCTATCCCCTTCTTCCTCTCCCCTTCCCCCCTCCCTCTCCATCCCTCGTGCCCGTCCTCGCCAGCTACCTGGAGATAGTGAGAGTGGAGGACAAGGCGTCCTTTGTCCTGGACGGCAATCTCAACGTGCGCTACATGAACGTGCACGACACCACGCTCCGATACTTCTACCCCAACCTCCTCGCAGGTGCACATGCCCATGCCTCATCATGCCCATGCCCATGCCATGCCCCCCCCCCCCCCCCCCCCCCCTCCACTGTTCCTCTCCCTTCTCTCCCTTCCCCCACACATGCCCTTGCCCATGGTATTGCCCATGCCTATGCCCACCTCACCTCAGCACTCTCTTAAAAAAATGCCGGTATCCACGAATCGCCATCCCGTCCCCCACCGGCTCTGCCTGACACACCACGGTGGCGTTTCAGGACACGGCTTTTGCTGCATCTAAGAATCCCACCCACCCCTGAACCACCTCCCCAACCCCAGGCACAGCTTCTGACGCGCCCGAAAGCTAATCCCTCTTTCACCCCAACCTCCCCTCTCTCCCCCCCCCTCCCCTCCCAGGCATGCTGTACTAGACAAGATCACGATGCGCGCCCCACACGGCTCCTCTTGGGTGCCTGCCTTCTTGCATTACTGCACCGCTCCATGGCATGGCACGGCTTATGAGACGCCCAAGAACTCAAATCAATCCATCCCCCACTTCCCCCCTCCTCCCAGGCATGACGTACAAGATCAGATCACCATCTGCTCCCCCACGGGCTCCACCTGGGTGTCCTCCTACATTACCGCACCATCCCAGGACACGGCTTCTGAGGTGCTTCAAAGCTCATCCCCGCCCCCCTCCCCTTCACGCCAAACCCCGCTTCCCCTTCCCAGGAATGACGTACGAGATCACGATCCGCTCCCCCACGGGCTCCACCTGGGTGCCCTCCTACACCACCGCAGCGTTCCAGGACATGGCTTCTGAGGCGCCCAAAAGCCCAACCCCCCACCCTTACTCCTCCCCCCCCTCTCTCCCCCACCCTTAAACCCCCTTTCCCCACTCCCCAGGCATGACGTACGAGATCACAATCCGCTCCCCCACGGGCTCCACCTGGGTGCCGTCCTACATCACCGCAGCGTTCCAGGACGGCGGCAGCTGTGGGCAGGGGCTCACCCTGCGCGTGCTGCCGCTGGGCCACGGGGGGACAGGGGTGGCGCGGCAGCTGCTGGTGGGCAAGGAGTCCAGCTCCGTGGGTGCCCTGTGAGTGCTTGTGCGGGGGAGAGAGGATTATTAATTATGATGGGGAGGTATTCTGTGGTGGGGGTCTGGTGTGTTGGTCCAGGGGCATGGGGGTGGTGGGGCAGCTGGCAGCTGCTGGTGGGCAAGGAGTCCAGCTCTGTGGGCGCCCTCTTAGTGCACAGGGGAGTGCTGTGGGGCAGGAGGTAGGGTTGGTGGAGGCTCAAGGGTGTCTATGTGTAATTGATTTGGTGGATGCGTGTGCATGCTTGAGCATGTGTGTGCATGCTTGAGCATGTGTGTGCATGCTTGAGCATGTGTGTGCATGCTTGAGCATGTGTGTGCATGCTTGAGCATGCGTGTGCATGCTTGAGCATGTGTGTGCATGCTTGAGCATGCGTGTGCATGCTTGAGCATGTGTGTGCATGTCTGTAAGTGCATGTGTGCGTGTGCGTGTGCACTAATGAATACATGTCCGTCCATGTCATCTCCATCCCCCCAACAGGCCCATACCAGGCAACCCTATACCGGGCAATAGAGCGCTCTATAGCTTTGCCTGTGCAACCACTGCACCAGTGCCTGCGCTCACCCTCACCATGGGTGGAAACTTTTCCGATATCGCCTACCTGATCCCCATCGGTGACACGGCCGCTGCTTCCTCCTGCACGTCTACGTTCATGTGAGATGTTTCTTCAGTCCACCCGACAGTGCACAGCGGAGCTTTTGAGGCGCCTCAAAAGTCGTTCATGTGAGACACTTCTTCAGTCCACCCGACAGTGCACAGCACAGCACAATGCACATGCCCCTTCATGTGATGGCCCTGCATCGGAGATTCCTGTCCAAGTTCCTGCACTATTTGCCATGTCACACACTCACACACACCATCAAGCACACTGAATATGGCATCATATGCCATGCCCTGCCATACCTTTATTCCATCCCATGATCCCATCACATCCCATCCCATCCCATCCCATCACATCCCATCCCATCCCATCCCATCACATCCCATCCCATCCCATCCCATCCCATCCCATCCCATCCCATCCCATCCCATCCCATCCCATCCCATCCCATCCCATCCCATCCCATCCCATCCCTTCCATCCCATCCCATCCCATCCCATCCCATCCCATCCCATCCCATCCCATCCCATCCCATCCCATCCCATCCCATCCCATCCCATCCCATCCCATCCCATCCCTTCCATCCCATCCCATCCCATCCCATCCCATCCCATCCCATCCCATCCCATCCCATCCCATCCCATCCCATCCCATCCCATCCCATCCCATCCCATCCCACCATTACCCTTACCCCTAAACCCCGCAACCCCCCAACTATTCCAATCCACCCCCCCCAGGTCAACCCAGCAGCGCAGCATCCTGTGTGCAGGCAGCGAGTGGCTGTACGACGACTCGGGGCTGGACTTCTTCCCGCCCTACTCTGGCGCACGCACCTTCTTCTCGCCCACGCCGCTGCTCACCCCGCCTGTCACCGGCCCCAAGAAGGCCCCCTCAGTGCCCCGCTCCATTGACCCCCCGGGCACGTGGCGCAGCGGCAAGGGCCCTCTGGGCTGGTATGCCAACTGTACGTGTGCCCAGCACCTCTACTGAGGCGTTCTGTATGGTATAAGTGGTGTGCACTTTCCACATGCAGGCTCAAATAATAAGTGTGATGACCCAGATATGCATTGCTGGTGCTGCGGTGCTCTTGCCTAGTCTTTTGTGCTAGTTGACTCAGAACTCCCTTGCACTTCACAAAGTCTCCCGATTGGTGGCTTCGTTGTGCCATTGCCGCGTGCTGTTCGTCAAATCTCCACCTCCCCTCATCACATCAGCTTGTTTAAAACAACAGCCGTCCCTCCCACTCCCTTTCACTCCCTCCCACTCCCTCCCACTCCCTCCCTCCCACTCCCTCCCACTCCCTCCTACTCCCTCCCACACCCACTCCCTCCCACTCCCTCCCTCCCACTCTCTCCCACTCCCTCCCACTCCCTCCCTCCCACTCCCTCCCACTCCCTCCCTCCCACTCCCTCCATCCCACTCCCTCCCACTCCCTCCCACTCCCTCCCACTCCTTCCCACTCTGTTCCTCTCCGTCACCCTCCCTCCCACTCTGTCACTCTCCCTCCCACGCTCGCCCCTTCCCGCCCTCGCCCATCGCCCAGGGGACAATCCAGCCATAGGAACAGTGCTCGCCCCTGTGTCCCCCTCCCGCGTGGTCTACTATTTCCGCACCAACTTCACGGCCACCAACACCAAGTGCTACACCGCTCTCCGCATCGACCTGCTTGTCAGCGACGGCGCCGTTGTATATATCAACGGTGTTGAGGCTTTCCGCACCAACCTGCCTAATGGGGCGCTCACCAACACCTCCCTCGTGCGTGTTCCCTTTGCTCTCTCACACTAACACGCACGCGTGTTGGTGTGCGGTGCGAAACGGGACTTGGTGCGGGGTGCGGGACTAGAAAGTGTTGTGTGCGTGTGTAAGGGAGCCGAATCTTGTGCAAGGAGATGATTATGGTGGGACGGACCTACGGGGGTTGCACCTACGTGCGTGCATGCGATGCGAATGGTTAGAGAGGTGGTGGGGGTTGACTGGCTTGCTGATCTGCGATGGTGGTTATGAGCTGTGCATCACTACCGCTTGTCACATTCTACCCATGCACCTCCATTCACCCTTTTTGGTTCGCAGTCCCATTTCTCCCATCCTTCCTCACTCTATCCGCACTATGTTATCCACCTCCCTCCCTCCCTCCCTCCCACCAGGCGCTATCAAACCGAGAGCCTCTGACCAAGGTACCGATCCCCTACACGACCTTCACAGTGCCGCTCGTCACAGCCCCAGGGGCAGCAGCGGCAGCGGGGGCAGTGAGCCTGGTGGAGGGGGTCAACTTCGTGGCGGTGCAGGTGCACGCGTTCCAAAACTACGCTTGGGAGGTGGCCTTTGACATGCGCATCTCCGCTCAGCTGCCGTGCGTGCCCTCTCACTCTCACTCCCATGCACTCGCACTTCCGCGCACTCGCACTCCCGCGCACTTGCAACCACCCAGCCACCCCATACCACACACGCACGCACCCACACACACACTCACACACACATGCACCCACGCACGCACACACGCGCACACCTTTCATCTTCAACTCTGTCCCCCTCGTTCTCCTCCTGCCTGAAGAATGCTGTTGTCCCTTCACGGTCATCTGCTCGGTGCCAAGCTCCCTGCTGCGGCGCGCATGCATGTGCCTCTTCTTGCTGCGCGGTGGCTGGTGTGGGGGGTGGGGCTCTAATCTGTGCCTATTTGTGTGTGTGTCTGGTGTGGCCACAAATGTGTGTGCCTGTATGTATGCATCTGCACATGCGTGCGTGCGTGTGTATGCATATGTGTGTGCGTGTGTGTGCGTATGTGTGTGCGCATGCACGCAGTGACCCTAAGTGCAAAGGCAAGGCAATGCGGCCAGAAACATGCGATGGGCTTGACAACGACGGCGATGGTGAGTGAGAGAAAAAAGGGATGTTTAGGGTTTAGGTGTTGCATGCCACTCATGTACTGGAATAGTGATGCTCCTTACACATATCTCCCATCCCACCGAATGAAGGACACATCAGCTGCAACACATGCTTGCCTTGTTGCCACGCCACCTCCATTTATACCCATGCATGCAGCATCAATGCGCCACCCTTTCTCTCTTAAACCCCTCACTCCTCTTCCCCTCCTTTCTGCGCTCCTGTTTCTTCCACACCCCACCCTTGTCCATTCCCTTACCCATCATTGCACTCTACCTCCTCACCTCGTTCTGCACCCCCTTATCCCTTCCCGCCATGCTCTCTGCTCGCTCACTGTGCCCCTTTCTCCCTACCCGTCCTCCTCCCCACCCCCACGGCCAACGGCCAGGCAAGGTGGACATAGGGCCGACCAAGAAGGCCATCACGGTGCCATGCGCCAGCGCCTGTGGTGTCGGCACCATGACCTGTGTTGACGGCGCGCTCTCCCCTTGCTCTGCTAAACAACCCGCCGTCGAGAGGTGCGTGTGTGGGTGCGCGTGTCTGTGCGCGTATGTGTGCACGTGTGTGTGTGTGTGTGTGTTGGGGGGGGGGGGGGGGGGGGGGGGGGGTGCGTGCGTGCATTCGTGCGTGCTGCATGCGCGCGTGCGAGTGTGCGTGTGCGTGCGTGTGTGTGCGTGCGTGTGTACGCGTGTGTACGCGTGTACGTGTGTACGTGTAAGCACGCATCCATACATGTGTGTGTGCGTGCGTGTGTACGTGTGTGTACGTGTAAGCACGCATCCATACATGTGTGTGTGCGTGCGTGCGTGCATGCATGGTGCAGACACTGTGCTGCATCCATCATCCTCTCTCCCATTCCCTCCTTCCCTCCCTTTCTCCACCCACCCACGCACTCACCCACCACCCATTCTCCTCCGCGCCTCCCCCTCCTCCCTCCTTTCCACCCTCAGCTGCAACGGTCTCGACGATGACTGTGACGGGCTGGTGGACAACCGCGTGGGGTCCTCTCCATGCCCCGAGGGAGCGGCGTGCTTCAACGGGTCGTGCCGGGCCGTGGTGTCACACGTGGGGTCGTCTGTGCTGGTGAAGGGCAGCGAGGCCGACTGGCTGTTTGCCGATGGGGGCACCAACGTGGCTTCTCTGTACCCGTCGTGGAAGATCAAGTGAGTGGGAAGGAGGAGAGAGGGAGAGAGGGGGGGAAGGGGGTTGGGTGTGATAATTGGGTGATGTGTGAAGGTGTTCACATACATGCGTCCCTCTCATCTCATCCCCTCCCACTCCACCCCTCGCTCCCGTCCCCTCCCTCTCTTCCCCTCCCCTCGCAACCCCCTCTCGTCCCCTCCCTCTCATCTCCTCCCTCTCATTGCCTCCGCATGGCCCCCTCCCACAATCCATCCTCGTGTGTGGGCTGCCTGGCCAACAGCTCGGGCATCCCAGCAGGAGTGATGAAGGCAGGCAAGGCCCCCTTTGGCGTCAACGCCTACAGCGCGGAGGCTGCAGCGCGGTTTGCAACGCCACTGGCCAACAGCGCGGGCAGCTTCTGGACCTTTTACTTCCTCAAGGCATTCAACCTCACGGCCGAGCAGGCCGCCAGCACCTACAGCTACGGTGAGCAGCACATTCTTTTAGCAGCGACGTTTGAGGGGCCTTAAAAGCCGAGCAGGCCGCCAGTACCTCCAGCTGTGGTGAGCAGCGCATTCTTTTAGCACCGCACACGGTCGTGAGCAGCACACGTCCTTCAAGAAGCAAACGCAAGAGGCGCGTCATATGCTTTTTGGGTCACCACAAAGGTCATGGCACAAGTCCGGCACAGCTCTGGTGGGGAACATATGTGCACTTGGTATGTTGTGGTAGGGGCACAAGTAGCCTGTCGGACCGCTTTTGGCTCAACTTTAGGCTCAAAGCACACGTGAGCGAGCGCAGGTAGACGAGAGGCATGGTACAGGCGCTTGCTGCGTGTGTGCATGTGAAGTACAGCTGTTGTGGCCCTTGTTTCATTCCCGACTTTACTGATTGATCCACTGTGAGTCGGGTTTTCGTTGCTTACTCAGATTTGGGTTTCCGGCTTGTTGACTGAAGGAGCGGAGTTTTAGAGTGTGTTGGTGGCAACAGCACCATGCCTAACATCCATCATTAGGTCAGTCTGATGGGAGTTTTGAGGGCCTTAGGAGCACGTACTGGAGTTGTGGTAGGGACATCTGTATGATTACGACTATAACAGCAAGATCTAGTGTGCCATGTGGTTGTGGCCAAACTAGGAGGTTTTGGAGCACTCGGCATATGCGCTCTCCAGTCACCATCCGTGCCCATCCGTGCTTTTATCACCCTCTCTTTACTCATCCATCCCACCTTCCACCCTCTCCTGACCTCCCTCCCGCCCTTCCTCCGTCCCCCATCCCCTCCCTCAATCCCCAATCGCCCCTCCCCACTGCCCCATTCCCCCTCCACCCTCCCCCCTCCCCTTTTCCCCCTCCCCCTTTCCTCTTTCCCCCTCCCCCCTTCCCCCGCCCCTCCCTTCCTCCAAACCCTGCCAGACGTGAGTGTGCGGAGGGATGACGGGGCGGTGGTGTATCTGAACGGCAACGAGATGTTCCGCACCAACATGCCCGGTTCAGGGCCCATCACCCACACCACAGCGGCGTCGGGAGTCACACAGACAGACACGAGCAACGGCAACAACAAGGACTCGTACTACTCGTGTGGGGAGGCGTGCTATGGGCGGAACATGTCCGCTTGGAGCAAGGTGGGTTCAATGATGCCGGGTGGACTAGTTGGTTGGTGGATTGTGATCTGGTTGGTGGGTTTGTGGGCTGATAGGTTTTTATGATTGGCTGTTTGATCCTGGAGTGATGTTGCAAATGTTTGTGCGGGAAGTAAGCTAGGCGTGGTCGGGTAAGTCATGATTGCAACAACGGTTACACCTCTAGGTCTCTTCTCAGCTCTCTCTCGCCCTCCCTTGACTGCGTCCCTTCCCACGCCCCCACTCACTCCACAGCCGGGCATCAACTGGGTAGCAGCAGAGCTACATCAAGCCTACCTCTGGTCCGGAGACGCCGCCTTCGACCTCTCGCTCTCCCGCCTAGGGGTCAACGACTGCCCTGCCCCCCCCTCCAACTCCTCCTCCGCCGCGCCTGCTCTCGCCTCCCCGTGCATCCGCTCAACGTACCGCTCGCTGCTCCCCGAGGGGACAGTGTGGCGCTTCAACGACGCGTCTATGACTGCGCCCCCTGCGGGATGGCACCTGCCCTCCTTCAACGATGCCGCATGGCCCTCGGGTACCTGCTCGGCTGCTACCCTGCCCACCTTCTGTGAAGGCCCCCTGCTGTGAAACCTGATATCACTCGAGGAGGTCATCCCATGGGCCTCATGCTCATCTAGCCAGTGTGCTGGCACTTTTGATTTGATTTACTTACCATGTGTTGCTCTGGGGCAGGGGTGAGTGACTGGTGGCATGCAAGGATCCATCAGTGAAGCGTTGCCCTGTATCACCATCAGATTATCCATGAGCCATGACCATGCACGCGTACACTTATTCATGCATGCTGCGTCCTTTGCCTCTTTCGCTCGCTGCCTCTTGCGCCCTTTCCCTGCTGGCTGGCACTACTACGTCTCAATCAACGCTCCTCTCTATCTCCGCATAGCACCTACTCCACCACCTTCCCACTCCCCCACACCCTCCCTTTGCCTCTCTCGAACCCTTCCCCCCTCTGACCTTAGTGTCCCCAATTCCCGATGCCTTAATGTGCCCCCCGATCAGGCCCTGGAGTGCTGGGGTCGGGTGGGTGGTGGAACATCAGCAAGTCCCTCACCAAGGCAGCTTCGGGATCGAACCGCCGAGCCTACTACATGCGTACGGCGTTCACCGTGCCTGACGGGCCGTGCTTCTTCAACCTCACCCTCTGGATCCTTGCCAACGACGGCGCCGTGAGTCTCCCGTCTCTCTTTTGTTCTTTTTAAGTCGTCTCAAAAGTTCTCTCTCTAACCTCACCCTCTGGATCCTCGCCAATGACGGCGCTGTGATTTCCCCTCCCACTCCCTCCCTCCTTCCCGAGACATTCGCTTCTCCATGTGATGTATCAGCAACCCCACCAACACCACACATTCCCTTCCACACTCTCTTTCCCCCTCACCCTCCCCTATTCCAACCCCCCCCCCCCCCTCTTCCCTCCCCCCCCAATCCCAACCGAAACCACACACACATCCCATCCTTCCTGGTGTCACCACACCCATACGCCCTCCTTCACACCCCCATCTCCACCCACGCCTGCAGTTTCTCTCCCTGTCTTTTCCTTCCCATGCTACCCCCAATTCCTCCAACCAGCCCTTCCCCCTCTTCCCTCCCCCACTCCCCGTTCTCCCCCCTCCGCCATGCAGGTGGTATACGTCAATGGAGTGGAGGCTGCACGCATGAACGTACCCAAGGGTGCTGACTCCACCACCCCCGCGAGCTCCTGGGGCAACTGGGTTTATAACCCGTATAATGTTCACGGGCAGTGGCTGAAGCCTGCAGGAACGCCAAATGTGGTGGCAGTGGAGGTGCATCTATGGCAGCCTGGTCAGGACTTGTTCTTTGGGCTGCAGATGGGTGGTAATAGAGAGGCCGTTACGTGCAAACCTGCTCCTTGAATGAGGCTGGCAAAGCGATGCTGATGGTGGGTTTGTTGTATTGTAAAGACAAGATGATTTGAAGTCTTTGTTATGGTGTGGGCTTTTTTGTGAGTTTTATAATTACTATTCATAAATGTCTGCTGCATTGCAGCATGTTGTTGCATTTGTTACGATGGGTGGCTCTTGCACTAAAATTCTTGAACATTACAAATGTCTACCATACCGTCATCACCCGGATAGTAGACAGTGTTGAATAGCAAACAGGGGTTGTCTATTATCCGGTTGTCTCTTATAAATAGGCTAGCATTATTATAAGCAGGCTCTCAGAAGTCAGAGAAAATTGTCTGATTTGCTTGAAAAAGTCTGAGATTTCTGATATTTTTTTTTGTGTACTCTGAGAAATTCAGTTTTTTTATGGCCTCAACTCTGAAAAATCAGATTTTTTTTTTATAGGCTGACTCTGAGATTTCAGAGTTTCCTGGGAGTGTACTCTGAGAAATTCAGAGTACAAACGAGTACCGACTCTGATTGAATGTACCTGTGCACCGACACCCAGGATTAGCGGTTGTACCTGTACCGTCAATCACGCAGAATATGTGCCAATTGTCAAGTTCTATGGGCGACGCTGCCCTGCAGCGCGATGTTTCCCTCGTACAGCTGCCAGTTTCCCCCGCCCTGCGGCGCGATGTTTCCCTCGGTGTAAGCTCCAGCTCACACTCTGTTAGAGCAATGATTGGTCTGTTTGGCAGCCTTAGACTGCCATCACGAACTCCACCACCACCACCAGTGTCGAAGATGCTGCAGCAGTTGCCACCCACGTAAAGGTGATGGCAAGCATACGTTGCCAACAAGACCCGTTGATTGTTCCCTTTGGCAGCATCGTGTACCAACACGAAACATTCCTCACAGCAGTGCACGGCAGACGCGCCTCGTCGTTGCCGTGCATGCTAGGCAACCACCCACCAGAGGCATGGATGGCCCACAGTCAGTTATAGGTGCGGAGATAACTACTACAACGGGAGCTAGACTACGGGCTAGGCACGGGTGCTCGTGTGATCTCTGCGTCCGTTGGTCCTTAGTCGTTTTCCTAGTGTACACACTGCTTGCTAGTTCACGGGGCAAGTTGGCAAGGGTTTCACTAAGAAAGGTTGACAACAATGGTACAACGAAGTTGGCATGGCAAGACTACATCAGAGCTAGCATTCAGGTCGATCGACTGCCAGCGCAGCATGGTCGACCGCGTTCCAGCACGACTTGGTCGACCGCGCTCCAGCAGTGCAAGGTCGACGGCGTGCCAACGTCGCAGGTTGACGGCGTGCCAGCATTGCTCCCGCAGAACAGCAGCGCACCCGCTTCGCAGGTGCTCGCAGAGGATTGGCGGGCTGAGCCTCGTCACCTGCACAACGCACACACCAAGTCATCCTCGTGCTGATGACTCCACCTGATCCGCCATGTCGACCTCGGGATACCACCGCCGAGGTCGGACTCGCCAACTTCGCCTGGGCGACCGTCGCACTCCTCCGCAGAATCTCGTCACCCAGGTAACCTGGTCGACCGGGCAACCACGTCGACCAGGTGCTCCTGTATGTGCCCGTCGACCTCCCAAGTCAACGGCCACCTTCATTCGACCTCACCAGGTCGACCACACCCCTGGTCGACCAGCTCCAGGTCGACGTCACTCCTGGTCGACCAGCTCCACGTCGACCAGCCCAGTCGTCAGCCGACCACCCAAGTCGGCTACCAGAAGTCGGCGTCACCAAGTCGGCGACCTCCCAAGTCGGCGACGTTGCAAGTCGGCGACCTTGCAAGTCGGCGACCTTGCAAGTCGGCGACCTTGCAAGTCGGCGACCTTGCAAGTCGGCGACCTTGCAAATCGGCGACCTTGCAAGTCGGCGACCTTGCAAGTCGGTGACCTTGCAAGTCGGTGACCTTGCAAGTCGGCGCCGACTTCCAGGTCGACGTGCCACATCGCCGACCACCAGTTGAAGTCGGCCGCCGGCTTCCCAAGTCGGCGGCATTGCAGTGGCCCCGTGCAAGTCGACCAACCCCGTCGACCCGCTCGCCCAAGTCGGCGTCGCCCACTGCTGCAAGTCGGCTGTATCTCTCGTACACCCGACCACGTAGTCGGCTCCGCCCAAGCGAGGACGGGGCCAACAACAACTCCCGTTGACACTCCCCTGCCGCGTTCACGCTTGGGCCCCCAGCCCACACGGCATCACTGCTCGGAGAATAGCTCATCGACGTGCACCCAACACACAGCACGTCGTCCACCGCACCAGCCATGCAAGAGGGCATGGCACCTACTGCTGCACATCGTCACCTTCGTCGCCCACGTCGGCCAAGCGCACCTGGCCGATGGCGACGGAGCACCGGTTGAAAGCCGGATAGTGCAGCGCCTTCGTCAGGAAGTCGGCCGGCTGCTCGGTGGTTGGGATGTACCTCAGCGAGAACTTCCCGCGCCTCACCATGTGCTGCAGCCAGGCCTGTCGCCGCTCCATGTGCTTGAGGTTGCCCGTCAACCCCATGCCCTCGGCGACCGTGATGGCCGACTTGTTGTCCACGCGAAGGATGGTCGGCTTCCCGGCATCCAGCTGCCGGAACTCTGCAAGGAGGAAGCGAAGTCGGCGTCCCTCCTTGCCGGCTTCGGTGGCTGCCACGTACTCCGACTCGGTCGACGACAACGTCGCGCACTTGATGCACTGGCTCGACCAGGAGACTGCGGCCCCTCCGTAGACGAACACGTATCCGCCCGTGCTCGTCCTGTTCTGCTTGTTACCGGCGTCGTCGGCGTCCACGTAGCGACTCAGGTCCACCGCCGAACTCCAGGGCGGTGTCACGCGTGTTGGCGAGGTAGGCGAGGCAGCGGTCGACCTCGCGCCAGTGCTGGTCGCTCCTCACCGTGAGGCCGCTCCCCAGCTTGCTGCAGGCAAAGGCGATGTCCGGCCTCGTCGTCGTCGCCGCGAACTGCAGCGAGCCGACCTTCTGCCGGTACTCCTCCTCCTGTCGCTCCTGTGCCTCCTCGTCGTCGAAGGTGAGCTCGGCGTAGGCGTCGACCGAGATCGGCGTCTTCGGGGTGCGCCCGGTCCTCTCCTCGTTGATGAAGCGCCTACGCAGCTTGTCGGCATAGCCCTGCTGGTGCAGCCACAGCTTCCCCGCCGACCTGTCGCTGACGATCTCCAGCCCGAGGTACTTCTGCACCGGCGAGATCTCACGCAGCTTGAAGGCGGACTCTAGCAGGTCCTTCAGCTCCTTCAGCATCTCGGTGCTGCTGCTGGCGGCGAGCAGGTCGTCGACATAGACCAACACCCAGCAGGCCACTCCGGCGTTGCCGACCTTGAAGTAGAGAGCCTCGTCGACCTGGCTCTTCCTCCACCCGGCGTCGACCAGCACGTCGTTGAGCGCCAAGTACCATAGCAGCGGCGACTGCTTCAGCCCGTACAGGCTCTTCAGCAGCTTGCACACCCGGCCAGTTCCGTCGTTGAAGTAGTCCGTCTGGGACATGTAGAGCACCCGGTCGAGCTTGCTCTGCAGAAAGGCGCTCTTCATGTCGAGCTGCATCAGGTTGAGGTTGAGGACGGCGACGATGCTGAGGAAGATCCTCAGCGTGACGTAGCTATCCACCGGCGCAAACGTCTCGTCGTAGTCGGCACCATACACCTGGGTGAAGCCCTTCACGACCAGCCTCGCCTTCTCGCGCTCGACGGTGTCGTCGACGTGGCACTTCGTCGTCAACACCCACCGGTTCTTCATGATGTTCACTCCCGGCGGGCGTTCGACCAGCTCCCAAGTGCCCATGTTGATGAGGCTGCGGATCTCCTCCTCCATGGCGGCCTTCACCGCCGGGCCCTTCCAGCTCGCCAACGCCTCCTTCACCGTCATTGTCGAGATGTCCCAACGGTGCTCGGGGTCGGTATGCATGTCAGGGTCGAGCTCCGAAAACTCCTCATCCTCCTCGGCGTCGTCATACGCCAGGTCGTCGTCGTCCACGTCGTACACCGTGGTGAAGGCAGCGGGGACGAAGAAGTCGGGCGGCCTCCGAAGTCGGCCTGACTTCCGGGGTTCAGGCCGAACCTCCACCACGTCGCTGTCGGTGGACTTCTCCCCTTCACCACCGGCTTCGCCACCCTCGTCGTCCTGCTGCACCTCGGTCGACTTCCTGGTCGACCTCTCCCTTGTAGTCGGCTCTTCTGCTGACTACCTGGTTGCCGACTGCTCCATGGTCGGCGTCACCGCTGCCTGCTCCCCTGTCGGCTGTTGCCCTACTGGTCTCTTCTTCGTCGGCTTCACCGAAGTCGGCTGCTCCTCCTCGACCTGCGCTCCTACGTCGACTTGCCGCTCGACACGTCGGCCACCGGCGATGCCCTTGGCCGGTGCCGAAGGCGACGTCCCACTACTCCCCTCATCGCCGGAGGCCGACATAGGAGTCAGCCCGTGTAGGTCGGCAACGAGGGGAGGGGCAGGGGTCGTAGGGGGAGGGGAAGGAGGACGGACGACCTCGACGTCCTCACCAGCAAGCTCACCGACCTCGGCGAGTAGAGGCAACGTCGCCGTCGAGAAGTCGGACGGCTGGGTGGTCGGCGTCCGACCTGACGCCGTCCCGTGCTCCGACTTCCACACCTCCAGCGACAGATCCTCGTAAAACACCACGTCCGACGTGGTGACCACCCGGTTGGCGTCGATGTCGAGGAGCTCCTAGCCCTTGCTCTCCGCCGACACGCCGAGGTGAAGGCCCCACCGGGCCTTCGGCTTCAGCTTCCCACCACGCTGCTGCTCGGGGACAAGGAACTGCGCCATGCAGCCCCACACCCGGGCCAGCGACAAGTCGGGCATCTGCCCGGTTAGCAGCTGGTACGGCGTCGTCCCTCTCAAGGCAGTTGCGGACCCAGACGGCCTGCCGCAGAGCGAGGTGCCACCAGTGGTGCTGCACGCCCATGTGCAGTAGCATCGTCCGCACCGACTCCACCACCGTCCTCATCTCCCGCTCCGCCATGCCGTTCTGCTGCGGGGTGTACGGGCAG